TCCTGCTCCTTTGGAAGTGCTGCTGCCTCGTGAGAGCATGACCATGGCTCATGCGCAGCTCCACTCAGCTGGGCCAGGGAGCAGGGTCTTGCCTGCCCATCGCCCGCCTTACCCATCCCTCCAAAGCAACTCTCCTCCAGGCATCGACTAGCTTTTTTGCCCGAAGTCCACAAAATGCAAGGGTAAGGTTATGGTTGCCAACACCTTGAAATGCTCTGCCATCTCCTAAATGATGGTATCCACAGCTGGCAACTTACGATGGAGCACATAAGCCGCCAGCTGTGGATAAGAAATAGTTACAGCAGCTGGTGATACGAGGTCTGGTTCAACACGGCAGTTGGAATGAATCCATAGCAGAGTTGACCGTGAAGAGCTGGAGCTGCGACAACACAACTGTGTGACCAGCCCTTCTCGGTCACCTGCCAAGAAGAGGAGCCACAGGTGGAAGCGCTGCATCTCCACAGCGCTTCCTATGCCACTGTCCGTTCTGGGACGGGCACATGCGTTCTGGCTGGTGCCTTCATCTGCGCTGTGCCCGAGTACGTCAGCAGTCAGCACGCTCAGCAAGAGCTGGCACTTGTGTCAGGACTGGCCCCGCGGGTATACTAAGGCGACCTCTGTGGGCTGAACTTTGAGCTGACGAGATGAGCACATGCTGAACTCCTTGGCCAGCCCCACAGCAACTGGAGGAGGGCTTCTGGCGACCAGCCCACTGCTCTGCTCAGCCTGAAGGCAGGCTCTGGCCATGGCCCACAGCCTGACAGGGGAGCCATGTTGCTGGAGGAAGGCGCCCGCTGGGTGCAGTCGCACTCCCAGGCGTGTGGGTGTGTTTGTGATCGTGAGCATTTGGCATAATGCTCCAGTAGGGGAATGGAGGAGAAAAAGGGGCTGTGGCCATCCATCTTTTGTGGAAATCCCAAAATGTGGAATGTAAGCTTTTGTATGCTAACTTATAGGACAAACTCTCCCAAAGCACTGCGTACCATTTTTAAAAAGTTTAAAACCACAACACAATAAAGCAGTGATAAAACATAACCAAAACAACAGTAAAATCAAAAGTCATCATTCCGATCAGATAGTGCCATTGGGCTGCCCCTGAGGAATCCTGATTTGGGCAGGTCGAGGTGAGTCCTAGGAACGGCGCAGAAGGCTGGCCGTGACGGCTCGGTGTGCGCCAGCCAGCGTCCCTCTCGGCCCACCAGCCAGCCTGCTTTGACAGCTTCCACGCACAGGGCCTGTTGTGCCTCCACGGGCGCAGGCAGGCTTGCTGGTGTCGCCAATGGCAGCCTTCAGGTAACGGGCACGGAGCAGCTCAGGCTTTCACACTTGGTCCAGGGCCACTGCTGCTGCATGACCCAACATCCGCTGGGCATCACTAACTGGAGCAGCGGCATCTGTTTCTGCATGGAGCACTCAGCACAGCGCATCGCAGTGCCTGGCTTGTCTCGGAAGGCACCGCCAATCACGGAGCTGTGAAATGCACTGTTTCTTACGGCCCAGGCTTCTCTATCCATCTGGCAGTTTCTCTTAGGTGAGGCTGGAGGGTGAAAAGCAATAGGTCCTTCGGTGCCCCGAGCCTCAGAAGCGAGGCAGTGGACTGAGTGCGGCATTAAAAGGCCTCGTGGGATGCCTGCTCGCGTTGACCGTCACGGCAGTGTGGACTGGCACTGCATTCCAACTGGGGGGACCCAGGTTCTAGTTTCCGCTTGCCTGTGACTGACAGCCTCGCAGGGGTGTCGTGAGGGTAGAACGGAGAGGAGGAGAATCATGTAAGCCAGACTTCTTACATGGGATAAAATGTAATTGTAAAAAAATAATTTAAAATCTGTCACAAACCAGGCTCTCCCCACTTCTAAAACATGGCCATTCTTCAGCAAAAAAGTTCTCCAGTGCACTTCCAGTCAGCTTAACTCACAAAGAATGAGTCTCTGAGCATGCCCAGAGTGGTTCATTGAAGCCAATCTAGCAACGACTTCTGAGCATTCTTCTTTTGAGTACCCCTGGCCCCCTCCCTCCGAGATAGCCGTTTGGGAGACGGACAAGCCTCTTCTCCGCCCATCGCCCCTCTGCTTGGTCAACCTGTCTCTCGGCATCACGCCATGGGGTCAAGAGTCACGCCAGGCTTGGCTGGCTGCAGGAGCTCCTCTCCCACATCCCCGCCCTGCAGTGGTAGATGCTGATTGGTTTCAACTTTCGCCTGAACATCTGGGGAGGGTGCCCTTGAAATGAGCCCCTCCACTTCTGTTTTACTGCCTGAGAGGTCTGGTTCCCAGGACCCTCCTCCTCTAGTGAGTCCGTATCTTCTTGACCTCAGTGCCAGCAGCCAGCGCGGCACCGCTCTTGCTGCGCTTGTCCAGCAGCTCTCAGGCGGCAGCTGCCCGGAAGAGGCCTTGCAGCACTCCAGAGGAGCTGGCTTTGGCCAGCCTCAAACCACGGTGGCCACGAGTTCTTCCAGGCTCACCGCAGCTTCCCCAGAACTTCTTTGTGAATATCACAAGCCCAGCCGGAAAGATGGCAGGTTGCTCTCAGGAAGCCCAGCCAGCCCAGCCCAGGCCCCGCATCTCCTTCATATTGTCATGAAGTTAAGGAAAAGGAGAGAGCACAGGGATTCCTCCCATGGGAGGCACTGGTGGGAGAGGCCACAGCCACTTTCGCATCGATCCCCCTGTGCCCCCCACAGCAGTGCTCGGGGTGCGTGGCAGGAGTGGTGCTGCCCGGGATGCCAGGAAAATCAAGAACTCATCTTCCTCCTGAGGTGGCTCTGTGCGTGTGCGTGCGCGTGCGCGCAAGCACACATGCCTTGTCTGCCATGTGATGCACCGAGGGCTGGAACTCTTTGTTCTTTCTCCACAATAAGCAAACTGTTCCTCATCACACTGTCCATCACTGAGGAAAGATTCAGCTTTATCTGAACTGGGCCTGACACAGAGGGTGGAAGGAAACCCAGGGCAATAAGCATCCTCCCGGGACACAGCCCTGCTCACTAGGTCCCATTGTTATCTATGCAGGAAGATAAAAGCAGGGCTCCTTTGACCAAGAACCCTTCCTGTAATCCCCTGTCTGCCAGTTCTGCTGTTTGGGACTGCTTCTGCAGAATTTCATCTGCACACACTGGAGCTTTTGGCCTGAGCAGGAAGGATAGATGGATTTCAGGTTTTGTTCAAATGCAAGCACATGGATAACCTCCCACAAAGTTCCTGTGCAGATTACTAATGTAGCAGAATGAATGTCTTTAATTGTAGGTATTCTATCATAAGTACAAACTGGACCAATTGTGCAATCCCTGTGTAGGATGGTATAATTGGTGTTCTGCAACAGCAGGGGTTAGACCCCATAGCCTTCCTGGCCCCTTCCAACCCTACTATTCTATAATTCTGGATAAAGGATTGGAATCCTTTTTTCCTGTTTTGAAGGGGTTAGGATTAGGATTAGCATCAGGGATAAACAGGGTAGCCTGTCTTTATCTGCAAATGTGACAGATTGGATAATGGACAACAAGAAGAAAAACATGAATTCTGAAGCTATTTAAAAGCTAAGGTAGGAAGTTAAATTAAGAAAAGGAGGTCATTCTAGCTCTGTGAGATTTCTAAGCCTGCAGTCCTGTGCACAGTAATTCCCAGTGCAACATATTTCTGAGAAAGCAAAAGATCACCTACCTGAAGTCACATTAAAGTCATTGAACTGTTGCCCAAAGGGAGAGCCAGCATGGCGGAATGTCTTGGGTGCTTGACCTTGACTGGCATTCAGCTCCCCACTCAGCCGTGAGGCTCCGCGTATGACTTTGGCCTAGTAATTCTCCGCTTCATCATAACCACCTTAGAGGACTGCTGAGAAAATAAATAGGAAAGGGATCCATGCATGTGGGAAGGGCAGGATCAAAACATTAATCTAAAATGGAAAAAGTGGCACTATAATCAGGTAAAAATGGAAATAAACAGGAACACTGTTGGTGAATTATGTCACATTTTACTGTCTCAGCATGATAAGATGTCTAACGCCATGCTAAGGTTCTTGGCCAAGGGACGAAAATAAGATGGCCATTAGGGAGAGAAAGGCGGGTGGCGGGGGAGGCCGGGAGGTGGCCAAAGGCTCACATCAGAGTTGCTGCTCTTTCTCCACAGCCCCCACAGGACACTGCCTGCCCTCCACACCCCTGCAGCTGCCCCTCCGGGCCCCACACGTTCAGCATACACTATAGATGTGTGCTGGGGCCGTAATGGCAGCAAATGGCTGGGGTGCGCCTCATGGGACTTCCAGCGAGTCGGGCATCACACTGCTACTCAGCAAGTGCAAGTCGACTCTTTTCCTTTGCTTTCTTGCAGAAACAACCCTCACCCTTTCAGACTCCTTCACTAGCTGCTGCCTTGTCTTGGCTCCTCACCCTTCAAAGCAGCACTCATGGGACTCGCAGGCTTTGGCCAGACAAGAGGAGGGCAAGCGGGTTCACCAAGAGGGCTGCCCCGGATGATCCCACCGCTGGGTCATGCCCTGGATGCACTGCCAGTCCTCCTGGCAGCCACTGGGGCCAGAGAATACTGTGGAGAAGCTGCAGTGGGAGTCCCAAATATCTGGGGCAGAGGTCCTCGCTATGGGTGTTGAAGAGATGGGGGCAGAGCCAGGGGTAATGCCCAGCTTCAATGGCTTAACTTTAAACAAACATTCAAGAAGGAAAATAATCAGATGCCCACAGCAAACAGTGCTTCGCTTGGCCTGATAATGTTTCCATTCCAGTCTAGGTTAAAAGACAGGACTCCTGGGCAAGGCAAGGAGCAAGCAGAGATGCCCCTCCGCAACCGAGGCGCTGGGCCAGTTGCCAGGCGGGGAGCTGACACGGCACTTCCCGTGAGTCCCCACCTCTTCCTCCGGCTTCTTCATGCCGGACTGTGTCTGCGGAAGGACACAGGGCAGCGCTCCCTCCTGTGTCTTCCCAGGGCAGCATGAGGAGAGTCTGCCTGGAAGCACCTTGGGCAGTGAGGGGCTTTGCAGCTGTTGTGGCAGCGATGGAGCTCTTCGACGTGTCCTCAGCTGCAGGCACGTCAAGGTCACACCCTGGATGGGTTCTCCCAATAAGGCCGGAAAAGGGTGTGCATGTATGTGGGGGAGAGTTTTTGATACCCCCTCCCCATGGTCGGATCACTGCCAGCTGGGGCTTCGGCCGGCTGTGGGCGTGACCCAGGCCTCCTCCAGTGAGGGCTCAGGCTGCTCTGAAGCTGGCCGGTCGGCCCAGGTGGGGTCTGGAGCATCACTGGTGCTCCTGGCTTTCCTGCTAGCACCCTCAGCCAGCCTTGTCTTGCATGGGGCCGTGCAGATAGGCTGGTCTACAGCCGCTTTCCTGCTGCCTGGGGAAGGTAGAAATCATAGAAAGAACACAAGGAAGGACGCTCTGAGTTGTTTTAAGTTTTTTATATTCTTTTGATAAGATGTTGAGCCATTTTTACTCTCTTGCCTTTATGTACATACTCTTGTCACTGCTCAGAGAATTTTGGCTATTGGTTGGCATAGAAATGGAATCAATCTGTGCCGTATCGGCCCCTTTGGCTTGCCTCCTGGGTGCTGCTGGAGCACGGCCTTACCTGGGCTCAGAGTGTTCCACACAGTGTCTTTTTGTCTTCCAGTTTTCTTCCTTGCCAGCAGCTGCCACTGTTTCTTATGACGCCGTTGTATGAGATTGCAATTGTACCTGCTGTCGTAAGTCTTTGGAAGATCTCGCACAATTCCTCCTTCTCCGGCACAGGCCAGGGGGCCTTTCTCGGGAGGGCTCCGCTCTGCCTGGGCTTCACTCACTGGCTTTACTCCTTCGTTACTGCTAGCAGCAGAACAGCAGCCATGGAGGTGGGGGAGGTGAGATGCCCAACCCAACCCTCCGGAGTAGGGGGACCACCAAGAAGCCACTCTAGCGGAGGTGGTCTGTGGACATGTATTTTGCAGCTGGCAGCCAGGAACACCCCCCGGAGCCCTGGCTGGCTGGCCTTCTGGGGAACACTGGATGGGCAACGGGCTGGTGCCAGCAAGGACCATGAAGCCCATGATCCCTTCCAGGAATCGCTCTGTCCTGACTGAATCAAGAAACGCTGTTACCCCTTCTGTGGCACACAAAGGCTGGGGAGTGCCGGGTACATCCAAATGCCTCCCCTGGCCAAGCAGCCTGTCAGGTGATTTCAACTGGCCAGTCCAACGAGTTGGTGGGAAATGTGTTTCGATCCTGGAGCATCTGGGCTTCAAGATGGGGAGGCAGGTCAAAGTTCCCCTGGAAGGCTCTCACAGCCCTCCCTTCTATGGTGCGAGCTGCTGCGTGGCTGGGCCAGCACTCCTTCTGCAGGGACTTTGCTCCATTGCTCCTCCCAAGCCATTGCTCTGTTCAAGCTGCATCCATTGTGAGCAGTCCCCCTTCCCATGCTGGCTTTTTAGTAGATCTCGTGGTACACAACTGCAAGGGCCAGTGCTGCTGTTGCAGTGAGAAGCAAGGCCATCTTCCCTCTTGGACCAACCGCATCTTGCAAGGCACGGTGGGGCTGTGGGGGCTGCGATGTGTCACGGGACTGGGACTCTGGAGATCTGGGTTCCAGTCCCCCCTCAGCCATGGAGCCCACTAGGTGACTTCGAGCCACTTACAAGCCCTCAGCCCAAGCCACCTCACAGGGCTGTGGCTGTGCAGAGAAGAGAAGAGTGCACGTAAGGAGAATTACGGAAGCTGCCTTGAATTCCTTGAAAGAAAGAAAGTGGGGTACAAGTGTGATAAATAAGCCCCTGCAGTGCCACACATGTGCTACTGGGAAATATTGGGAACTGTAACATTTCTTTAGTCTAAACTTGCATCATATTGTGTCCTCGCCGGCTTTTGTTGCCCTTTGTCGAACCGTCTGCTTCCAGCAGCCTGAGTTGTGCCCATCTAGGAGTACACTAGAGGTCTGTTCTGGACCTATAAATTAGCACTGCTGGCTCCCACTGTCCCTCGGTTCAGTGATCATTGTGGCGCCCCCACCTTCCTTCATGACTATGTATGAGGAAATCTGGAATATCAGTAGTTCCTGAAGGGGTATGACACAGAATAAAGGATTCAGGTTTATATACTCCCACAGCACAAAATAAGCTTTGGCCTACACCAGGGCTCTGGAGCTGCACGTGGCTCCTGAATCCCTCTGCTGTGGCTCCAGTCGCTCAAAACACGCCCTGCGGGCACAGCCACTGATCTGCCACCCGAGGCTGGTTGCTGCATTCCTCTGCTGTTGTGCACGGAAAGAGTGGAACAAGCTTCCTGCAGGCTCTCATATTGCTCAAACCCTGCTGAAAGGATTCTCTTTGTCCAAATGGTGGGACACATCAAATTCAGTGCTCTTTTTAAAAAAACTGATTGCACTCAGCTTTGAACTTCATCCCAATAAGGAACTGGGAACTGACCAGCACAGGTGACGCCCTCTCTTCTGAGTGGCCGGTGGCATGTCAGGGAGCCAGGGAAGGGGTCTGCAAGGGCTGCAGAAATCTCCCCCCATTGGAAGCAGGTGGACCCTTGCAGGGCACAAGAGATGCCACCCTACCTCCTCGGAAGGGATTGGTGGGCGCTGCTGGAAGCCCCCTGGCCTGGGAGGGGCTGCAGCTCTGGGCCAGGAGCAGTACCACCCCAGCACCTGCTGCCACTCTCCGCTGCCGGGCTGCGCTTCTTTCTGGGCTGCTCAGCTGCCGTGGCAGAGCGCTCCACCAACCTGCGGCTCACGTTGCCACTGCTCTGTGCCCTCCTGCAGCGCCTGACCCTCCTTCTCTTCACATTTTTTGTCCAGTATTATGACCAAACGAGTGCAAAGCTGTGGCACAAGGAGATGCAGCTCCACAACAGGAGCCATCAGGACAATGAATTCTGCAGTCGCTACCCGAGTGAGTATTCCCCTTGCCATCAACGTGCCCCATTTCCGCGTCTCTCCCTCCATGCAGAGCCACCTCCCCTCCCGCAGGCCTTTTCTGCAGGACAGAATTTCTGTTATCCATTTGCAAGGAAATGAATACTTGGTTCTGTGGGAAAGATCAACCGTTTGAACCTCTGCGGCTTTATTGATCGGTGGCCCAGTACCTGCAGTCACTAACAATAATACATTACCAGGTAGAGCCAAACTGAACTACCAAATCGTACAGACACTTTCATAACCTGCTAGTCACGTACACCAGTGCAGAGTG